GTTGCTGATGGTCAGTGTGGAGATGACCCCCTCGTCCGTGCTGACCGTCTCCACCGTGTAGCGCCCGGAGGTCCCGGATTCCAGGACGTTCTCCTTCCAGGACCAAGCCTGCCAAGCGAGAGAGGGGTGAGCCCGGGGCAGCCCGGGGTGTGCCAGGCACCCGCCGTGCCCCGGGGGGATACTCACAATCCGGTCTGGTGGGGGAGTGCTGCGGATGAAACACTTGATCTGCCCCTTCTGGCCGTGCAGGGCGTGCTGGGTCTGGGTGCTGGAGATGATGGGGGGCCCTGTGGAGAGAGGAGAGGGCTGCTGGTACCCCGTGGGGACTGCTGGGGATGGGGGTGTTAGTGGAGCTACAGAGGGACGTCGGGGTCCAGCTTTGAGGGTCAGGGGTGGAGCAACAGCTCCATCACCTCCTGTGATGGAGAAGGACATTGAGTGGGGGCTTTGGGCTCTGCTGGGTTTCTGCAAAGCCCCCACAGATCCCCGGGATCCCCCATCTCTGCTCCCCCATTCCTGGTGTAAATCACCCTGTCCCCTTCTCCTCGGTGGACATGGCCCCTGAGAAAGGCTGTTTGCTCCAGAAGCAAAGCAGGATCCCATCCCACCTGGTTCCTCTTCTGTGCTCTCCCAGATTCCATAGGCAACCATCCCCAGGGGTTTCAGGAAGTGTTAGGAGGGCAGAGGAGGCACAGCTGGTACATTCAGGGCACCCTCAGTGACCTGCACTCAGCCTGCCCAATGTGGTGGAGAGGTTTCTGCTGGGAAAACCTTGTCCCCCATTCGGATTTCTGAGCAATACGAGGCCAAACACCACCTGAGCCAGTTTGGGATGGGAAATGTCCTTGTCCTGCTTTGGTGACATCCTGGGATTAGGGGAAAAGGGGTGGGATTAGGGGATCATGGCTTGGTGGGATCGGAGCGTCCCTCACTCTCCAACAGCCCTGCAGGGGAGACCCCAAGGGAGCAACACAAGAGCTGGGATCCTAATTGCTGTTTGATAACCTCCTTAATTAAAGCAGATTTGCATTTCCATGAGTGGCTTGCTGCTGGCAGAAGAGAAAACAGCACCAAGCTGGGCTGCAGGGCAGGGAGAGGGCCCAGGCAGGGGCTGGCACATCTGCCCCTGCCCCAGCTCAGGAATTTTGGGTGTTCATTCCGGGTTGTTACTCCTGGTTTGGGGTCTGTCTCTGGGTTTCTCAGAAAATACAGCCTTGTGGATTTTCCCCCATTCTTTCCCCACGGACTTTTCCCATTTTCCTGACCTGGAACCGATGTGTTCCTTTAAGAAGTCTCAAGGGTTTGAGGTAAAGTGGGGACAAATATTCACCTGGGTATTCCTGACTGATTCTCATTCCAATCACCCATTTACGAATTTCCAGAATGCACAAAAATGTACCAAAACACCAAATCCTTCCCTCTGGTGCCTTCACAGATACAGTTGCCTGCTGGAATCATCCCAGTAACCCTTTCCTGCAGCAAACTTGCACACTCCCCCCACACTTCCTGCTGAGACACAGCCCTGTCCCTCCTTCCCTACGCTGTTCCGAGGGGAGATGGATGGAAAATGAGCTCAGTGAAGCACAATTCACTGACCAGGGACCACAGTTCTGGCAGCTCAGGAAATTACTGCTGGAAGGGAGCTGCTGTCAACATCAGGAATAGCAGGAGCTGGACATGAAGGTCCGGACTTGTTTTGATGGAATGGGCACAGCTGTATGTCAGGGGAAACTTTTGTGCCCCTTTTGATCGAAGAAGACAAAAAAATCCGCCACACTTTGTTATGTTTTTCTGCCTAAATGCTCAAGATGTTAGTCAAGGCATGATCCCAAGGTGTGAATTCTCCTTTATCCATCGCTGACAGCCCAGCTTTCCCAAAGGTCTCAGTGGGGGTGGGTTGAATCCTTGCTTTGCCTCGTGGTCATCAGGCATCAGATCCTGTGGTCAGTGATGCTCTTGCTCATGTGATGGTCCCAAAGCCATTAAAGATCTTGCTTCTATAGGCGAGAGCAGTGATGGGATCTGAAGGCCAGGCCTAAATAATAATAATCAAAAGAACCATCTCCTTTCCATTTCAATGGTTGTATGTTACTTCTGAATTCTGGAAGTGCTCCAAGACTGGGTGACGCTAGAGAAAAATGGCTTAATAATCATTAAAAGGATCATTTTCCCCAAGGCGAGTGGATTTTAAATGGCACAAATGCCAATGGCTTCGGGTTTTATTATTGCTTCAGGAGTTCAGAGTCGAAGGCTTATCATCATGATAATAGTGGATGACTAAAGACCATTTGTGAGATGAACATGCCTGGAAATAATAGCACCAAGTCGCAGCCTCTTCGCGTTCGCGGCCGGCGTTTGATTCTCCACCAGGCTCTGGCTCCTTATGAAAGCTGCCAGTCTCCAGCCTGGCATTCAGCACCGAGTGTGAGACAGCCCACAGGCAGGGAAAAGGCTCTAAGCAATGTTGCTATGGATATAAATGATGGAGCTATTGGGGGAGGTTATTTTTAGCGCGTCGGTCCCGATTTATTTGCGCGGTCCTGGCGCCTGGCACAAAAGAGGAGGCTGGAGCAGGAGCCTTCAGGAATGAAAGGATGGCCTTAGCTCCAGTCTGCTTGAGTCCATCTGAACCTTGTTTCCTGCAGAAGCACAGAATGGTTTGGCAGAAGGGTTTGGTTTAACTCCTTGTTTCCTGCAGAAGCCCTGGGCTGGCTGGCTGGTGCTGCCCAGTATTGCAAAGCACCATCACAGAATGGTTTGTGTTGGAAGAGACTTTAAAGCCAATCTCATTCCACCCCCCTGCCACAGACAGGGACACCTTTCACTAGCCCAGGTTGCTCCAAAGTTGCCCAACCTGGCCTTGGACACTTGCAGGGATGGGGCAGCCACAGCTTCTCTGGGCAACCTCTGCCAGGGCCTCCCCACCCTCACAGCCAAGAATTCCTTCCCAGTATCCCATCTAACCCTGCCCTCTGGCAGTGGGAAGCCATTCCCTGTGTCCTGTCCCTCCATCCCTTGTCCCAAGTCCCTCTCCAGCTCTCCTGGAGCCCCTTTAGGCCCTGGAAGGGGCTCTCAGGTCCCCCTGGAGCCTTCTGCTCTCCATGTGAACCTCCCCAGCTTTCCCAGCCTGGCTCCAGAGCAGAGGGGCTCCAGCCTTTGGAGCATCTCCGTGGCCTCCTCTGGACTTGCTCCAGCAGCTCCACATCCCATGTCCTCACACCAGGACATGCTCCTGCCCAAGCAGGGTGGCAGGTCAGCCCTGCCCTGCTCCCAGCTCTTGGGCATGCTCAGCTTCCTTGTTGGGGTGAATCCTGGGCAAATTACATCCTGGATTAGCCACCTGGAATTGTCCAGCCCTTCTGACAAACCTCTTCTTGCAGGGCAAGGTGGGCAGGGTTGGTGTCCCTGCTCAGCAGCCCGGGCAGACAGACTGTACTGCTGGGGATCTGTCCATGAAGGGATCCTGGGGGGCTTCTCCTGCCAGGCTGGGAGCTGTGACCAGGCTGGGAGCTGTGACCAGGCTGGGTGCAGTCAGGAGCATCGAGAGGCTTTGCTGTAAATCCAGCTGCTGCTGATTTATGATGGCACCACGTTCCTCCCTTCCCTCGTGCCTCTGCTGCTCCAGCCCTGCCAAATGCTGCCGCTTTGCATAATCCTCCTTCCCACTAACCAGACTCTGAATCCTATCTGCCTCCTGCAGGCTGGTGGCCTTGGCTCTGCCATGGGGATGGGCTGCTCTGTACCCACAGACCTGTGTGGGGAGGGCAGGGGGATGTTCTCCCACCTCAGCATCGTAGTGCCACGATTTCAGATAATTTTGGGAGTGGATGGGCTGGTGCAGGTGGGGCTGCAGGCTCAGACTGGGTCGGATGATCCCTCAGTCGGGGTCTCTGTGCTCTGGGGGAAGGATCAGCCCCTCCAAAGCCCATGTGCCCTACTCAGGGTCTGTGCAGCCAGCCCAGAACAGACACTTGTAAATGCCTAATTTTCCTGTGACGAATCCCAGCCCACGGAGAGAGGCACCAAGACAATTGTATCACCCTCTGGATTTAAAAGCACTTCAAAATATGAGGCATTCAACTTCCCTCTCGAATTACAGCAGAACAGGCTTCCAGCAGAATTCATTAGCTGGATTAGACACACTGAGCTGTGCTCTGGAGCTGGAACTCTGCTCCAGCTGCAGGACAGGCTGCCAAGCCCCGATGTCTGCTGATGTCACACTTGGGGATGCTGCTCTGGAGCTTGATTCTCCTCACTTGGGGGGCCAGGACACCATCCTGAGCTGGAGGTGATGGGATGTCCCGACACTGTCACCTTTGGGGTGCACCAAAGCAGCACATCCTGTGGGATGGGATGCTGCAGGCAGTCGGTTCCTGGGAGCTGAGCAGTGAACCCCACTCCTGGATTTCATTTGCTCCTCCTCAGCTCTGCCAGGTGGGAGCTGCAAAGCTCTGGGGAGCAGCTTTTCCCTGCCGAAGGCTCCGAATTCCCGGAGCCTGCAGAACCCTCTGCTCTGCATTCAAGGCATCCGTGTGCCTGGTAGGTGTCAGGGAAGGAGCAGGTTCTTTGTTTGTGCTAATTTGTTGCTTTGTTTTCCATGAGCTCATTTAATTGTAATTAAAGCCCAGCAGCCGCCGGGGAAGGAGGATTCAGGCGCCGAGGAGCTGAGTCGGAGACAGGGAGTGGTTGGTTTCCAGTCCCCTGCTGTGTTGCCCTTGGCTTCCCTTTGTAGGATTATAGAATCCTGGAATGGTTTGGGTGGGAAGTGACCTTTAAAAGTCATCCAGTCCAACCCCCCTGCTGTGAGCAGGGACATCTTCAAGTAGATCAGGTTGCTCAGAGCCCTGTCCAGCCTATCTTTGAATGTTTCCAGGTTGGGGCATCCACCCATCTGCATTACCTGCGTTTAAAATGAAGGCTTGTTGCTGCCTGGGCTGCCTTCTGCTTGTTTCCTTCTCTTATGACAGTGAGTGGGGACTGAAACCTGCTGGTTTGTCATGCAGGTGAGAGAAAAAGCAAAATTCTGCCTCTGTTTACACCATTTGCAGCACACCCAGCTCTGAAATTTGTTAGCAGCAGCTGCAGAGTCCTGGCCAGGGCATCATTAAACTCCAGAGCTCTGGGTGTGGGTCTGGGGCACATCCTGACACCGTGGTGGGTGAGTCCCAAGCAGCCGTGGACGTATCCTCACAAGTATCCTCCCAGGAATCCTCCCAGATATCCTCCTAGGGATGCTCACAGGTATTCTCACGGGGATCCTCCCAGGAATCCTCCCAGATATCCTCCCAGGGATGCTCACAGGTATTCTCACAGGGATCCTCACAGGAATCCTCACAGGGATCCTCACAGGTTCACAGGAATCCTCACAGGAATCCTCAGGGGGATCTTCACAGGAATCCTCACAGGTATCCTCACAGGAATTCTCATGGGAATCCTCATGTGGGTTGGAGAGTTATTAGGCTGCTGTTCTCAGCTCCAGGCTCAATTCCCAGCTCTCCAGCTGTACAACAGAGACAACAGTGCTCTCCGACCTTGCGAGGGTTTTGCAAGATTAATCTATTAAAGATTTAAAGATGCCAGCTCCCAGCTACTCAATAAACCCCTGTTGGTAATAAGGAACCACGTGGGGCTGAGCTAACCTTGGGGTTTTTTTTTGCTTTAACTCGTGAATCTCCGGGAGAATAAAGAAAAAATCCACTCTGCTCCTATTGTCCTCCCTCCCTGGTCCAACTGGGGGTGGGATTTCCCCCGAAAGGAAATCTCTGAGGGGGTATTTTGGCAGCAGGAGGACAGGGGGAGGGCACTGGTGATGGGGAGCAGGAGGTACCGTTGACGGTGAGCGTCACCTCCCGCTCGCCCGCGCCCACCCGCGGCACCACGGCCCGGCACACGTATTTCCCGGCGTCTTCCTGGCGCACCGACTTCAGGGTCAGCTTGTTCTCATTGCTCAGGACCTGCAAGAGAGGAGGGGGGTGCTTTTCAGAAGTTACAAGAGACCTGAGTCACGAGAAACGTGTGTTACCAGCTCCAGAGCCCAAAGTCTGACGTGGCACAGAAACATCACTGACTGCCCTTGGCCAAGGAATAAAGAAGCACCACAGGGGTTTTTTTTTGGTTTTGGAATTATAAATCCTGTTCCTATTCATCTGAGTTTTTACAAACTCCAGTTTTGCAAGAAGTTCTCAAACTACAAGAGAAAAATATTGGTGGCTGCAGTGACAGAAAAACCTTGGAGAGAATCACACTTGTGTCTCCACATTCGCGGGTGCAGGGGAGGCTGCCGGGATTGGCTCGGGGATTTCGAGCCCAGAAGTGGTGGGAGAGGTGGCAGACGCCTGGGAATTGTGTCTGGACAGCCAGGGAAATCTCAGCTGGCTTTGGCAAGCCCCCCTGTAGACTGGCTGCAATGTGTCTGCTCTCCCCCTGCCCCCACTGTGCAATGAGCAGCTTTATTAAACCTGGAAAATCGCAGCAGCCCAGGGACCGGCTGAGGGTCTCAGCAGGATCCTGGCACTGCTGGTATTTAAAAAAACATGGCAGGTCTAAAACAAGGAGTGGAATGCCTGGGAGAAAACTCCCGCAGTTGCCCTTGGCTCTCTCCCCAGGGCTCTGCAGGCCACAGCCCATCACCTCTCTTGCCTCCAGTGCCCACCGGGCCAGGTGAGCCCCTGGCTCTGCTGGTTGCTGCTCCCACAGCTGATGCCTTCAGGAATTAGTGCTGATGTGGTGGTTGGACAGGGATCTTGATCTCCCTGGAGCAAGAAGGTGGGGGTCTCAGTCCTAACCTGGCACGAGGCAGAGGCACAGAGTGTCAGATCCCTTTTAAACCCTCTGTTTTAGCAGGGATTCCAGAGTTATCCACACAAACACCTGCGTATTCTGGGCCTCACCCTCCCTCTGGTCTCTGATTTGCCTCCTTGTGGGAAAAGAGGAAGAAAGAAGGCAGTCTTGTGAGACATCAGCCTGGATCTGGAAGCAGAGGGGCTGGGAAACAAACAGCCTTGATCCCACATCCCACTGGGATGGTTGGGTGCTGATGGCTTTGCAAAGCAGCATCCCCTGCCAGCATCCCTCTGGGAAGATGAAGGCAGCTCTGCTGACCAGTATAAGCATCTTCACTGGGTTAAAGGAGCTGGAGGGTCTATCCTGAGCCCTGAGATCAGAGAATCATGGAATGGTTTATATTGGAAGGGCTCATCTCATTCCAACCCCTACCATCAGCAGGGACACCTTCCACTAGCCCAGGTTGCTCCAAGCCCTGTCCAACCTGGCCTTGGACACTTCCAGGGATCCAGAGGCAGCCTCAGCTTCTCTGGACAACCTGTGCCAGGGCCTCCCCACCCTCACAGCCAGGAATTCCTTCCCAATATCCCATCTAGCCCTGCCCTCTGGCAGTGGTCTCTCCCTGTGTCCTGTCCCTCCATCTCTTGTCCCAATTCCCTCTCCAGCTTTCTTGGAGCCCCTTTAGGCCCTGGAAGGGGCTCTGAGGTCTCCCAGAACCTTCTCTTCTTGAGGCTGAACCCCCCCAGCTCTCCCAGCCTGGCTTCAGCCTTCAGAGCATCTCCCTGCTCTTCCCTGGACCTGTTCTAACAGGTTCACATCTTTCCTGTGCTGAGGACCCCAGAGCTGGAAGGGCAGCTCTGCAGGTGGGGTCTCATGAGGGCAGAGTAGAGGGGCAGAATCCCCTCCTTGCCCTGCTCCAAGATGTTCCAAGCTGGCAGGACTCACTTGGAGGGAGCCAGATAAAACAGGAGAAGGTGGCTGTGCCTTGGCACTGCTGGGCAGTGAAGGCAAGGGCTGGTGAGTGGCCGGGGCTGGAGCACAGGGCTGAGGCAGCCCTTGTTCCCACTGTGCCTGGCTCCTTGCAGCCCCTCTGCACGTTCCAGCGGCCTTGAGGACACAGGACAGCTGCCTGCGAGGTGAGAGCCTTGCCTGCAATGATGACAACCCAGAGAAACAACAACAGCAGCTGTGGGATAGGAAAACACCCAGGGATTACTGACCCACCGGGGTTCCTCGGCTGATTCCAGCCACTGGCTCTCCCAAGTCTGTAATTACTTCCCAGGAGATGGCCCTCACCAGGGTCATTATGGCTGTGAACAAACAGCCCAGCAGTTGATGTCTCAATGCCCTGGAGCCCCAGGGAGTAGAGGGGAGGAGGGTGGCAGCCCCTCCTGACTCCATAGGGGTCCAGCCCTGAGCTGTGTGTGGCAGCACTGCCTCATCCACTCCAGGACACACCTGCCCAGGGGAAGCTGAAAGGTGCTTTTCAAACCCAAACCTGCCTGTGCCTCCGGATGGGTTTCACATCTCAGCCCTCCCTTAGCTTCTCCCGGGGGTTTTGCTCAGCCCTCCTTGTCTGTGAAGAGGGATCAGAGCATGTCCCACCTCCCTGGGCCGACTGAGCCGTGATGACGATTGGCAAAGCTCCGTGTGCTTTTCAGGACAAGAGAGATGTGGAGAAGGCTGCTGGGACAGATCCAGGCTCCCCTGACTCAAACAGGCTCCAGCCCACAGCAGGGGAGAGCCAGGGTGGATGCACTAGGATGTGAGCTCCCAAATCTGGGAGCCAGAAAGGACTGTCCCAGGAAGGACCATCCCAGGAAGGACCATCATAAAAAGGACCATCTCAAGAAGGACCGTGACAAAAAGGACCATCCCAGGAAAGTCCATCCCAGAAAGGACCATTCCAGAAAGGACCATCCCAGGAAGGTCCATCCCAGAAGGAGCTGCCTGCAGGTGAATTGCAGAACCACTGCCCATCAGCGAGATGTTAAGCACTGCTCTGGTCAGGGTTCAACCCTTATGCCCATCATCATGGGCATCAGTTCTCTCTTGGGACTCCTTGGCATTAGGAGGAGCCACATTCATCCAGCCAGGAGCTCCCAGAGCACTTGTTCTGCCCCATGGGAAGCATCCCACAGCACCCCCTGCCCCGAGCATGCCCCCCCTCCCCACAGCAGTTCTTACCACGCCCGAGCCTCGCTTCATCCAGACGATGGTGAGGGAGGGGTTCCCAGTCCAGGCACAGTTGAAGACGGCGTCCGAGCCCAGGTCCACCAGGAGGGACTGTGGTTCTGTCGCCATCCTGGGCCCAACTGCACAGAGGAGCCCGGGGTTACTGCCAGTGCTGGGCTGTGCCAGCCAGAGCCCTCCCACCAGAGAGCTCAGGGGGTGCTGCTGCAGCCTCAGAGGGACCAGCTCCCCTGGGACCACCCCATGAGCTCATAAGGAAATCGGGGGTCCCACCACTGGAGCATTTACAAAGTCTGAGCAGCAGGAGAGCCCAGCAAGTCCTGGTCACCCTGGACACGTCAGACCGAGCCATGTCCCCTTCTGATTGATTGGGCAGCTCTGCTCACCCTGGGAATCTGGACTCAGGGTACTCACAGTACACATCCACGGTCCTGCTGATGTTTGTGCTGCCCAGGGCGTTGGTGACCTCGCAGGAGACGGGCTCAAAGAAGAAGGTGTGGTCCACAATGGTTTCATAGAAGTCACCAGAGGCTTCCTTTATAACCTGGCCTTTTTTCGCCCACCTGTTGGAGCAAACAGAGCATCACCGTGGTGCTGCTGTCGTGTGTCTCCTGTCATCTCCATGTGTGCACAGGTTGTAGAGCTGGGGGCAGCACAGCCCCTTGACTTTAGGAGGGACATGTATGTGTCCTCAGCACCATCCCCTGCCCTGGGGATGTAGGGATGTGGGGATTACAGCTGCAGGTTTTGGAGAGGGGCCACCAAAGCGACGTGTACCTGTATCCCCACTGAGACCTTTGGGAATGCACCTCACTCCTTAGAACTGTGAAAACCTCAGTGATGGGAGGGATGGGACATGGAAGGTCTCTGCTGGTGGGGAACCACAGTCCCTGAACACTTGACAACAACATCCTTCCACATCAAACCCACTAAAAACCTTTTCAGCTGCCCCCCACTTTTAACCTTTTCTTTTATTTTTTTTTCCCCAGTCAAAGAGAACTTTATCCCTTTAAGGCAGCTGAAATAACATTCCCCCGAAAAGCCAAGCTGGCATTTGCAACACTGCGACTTGCAAATTGTCTTGGAGAACAAGCTGTCAACTCAGCACTTGAATTAAGCCGCTGTTTGCCAAACAATGAGCAAATGTGACCTAATGGGGCACCATCTGGCAACCTGCCACTCGGGAACGGGTGGGAAAGGCAGGAGATGCTGTCAGGCAGTGTGAAAATCCAACCACTCTTTGGGGGAAGGGAAAGAAAGCCTGGGAAAAACCATATAATAATCCCCCCCCAAAAAAACAAGTGATAGGTAAATTGGAGGAGACAGGGTTTGCCTGAGGAATCTCTGCCCTGTTGTCTTGGAGCTGCCCTCCTCTGGTTGTGCTGGATGGGTTGGGAAAGATGCCCCACTGGGAGATGGGCTCTGGAGAGAGGCAGGAGCCACGGAGGCTGCTTCCCATGTGGGGTCCATGGGGTGGTTTTGGGAAGGCTGATCCCTCAAGGTGAAAGGCACCTGCTCTCGGTCCTCCCACGGGTCTCCTGCTGCTCTCTGCTCACTCCCGTAGCTCTGCTGGGTCCCCACTGCTTCAGTGCTGCCCCAAGGCACCAAGGACGACTGGAGCTGCAGGGAGCTCCTGCCGAGGCTCTGCAGGCACAGAGGTGCCTCGGCGGGGCTGGAGCGAGAGTGAAATGCTGGTCCGTGGCAGGCGGAGAACACCCGGAGTGCTGCCAGAGCCTCAAGCACCTGTTAATGTGCCCCTCAGTGACTCCTGCCAGCTCCGAACAGCCTCGCCCCCCGATGACACGGCGTTCTGGGATCTGTTCGTGGGCAGATGGAAGTGATTTGTATGCACTGACCTGCCCTCACATTCCATTTATCTTTGCACCTCTAACAGATGCTGACTGGCCACTTCAGCTTCCCTCCCCTCCCCTGCTCCTCCCCGGCCTCCCCCTTCAGTAATTAATCAGGAGATGCCGGTTTTATTTCTAGGGCTGCGCTCCGTGTCTTAATGAGGGAGGTTCCCTATGGAAAAAACCAGCACAAGCGACGCCCTCCAGGTGCTGCTCCAGAGGTCTGAGAGGTCGGTGGTGCTTTGGTGACGCCTTTCTCCTCCCAGAGGGAACTGCAGCCCGAGCCAAGCGGCTTGCAAGGGGTCAGCCAGCAGGGCTGATCTCAGCGTCCCGCTTCCCTGCCTCCCGACGGGATCTGCCCTGCCCCGCTGCCCCCCTGCCGCAGGAACGCTGCTGCCCATCGGGGAGAGCATCTGCCAGCGCTGCAGCAGCAGCTTCTTCCTCGGGGATGGGGCAGGAGAGGGATGGAGGGACCTGACAGAGCTCTGAGATTTTGTCCCTGAAGCTTTGCACGGCTTGTGGGATGGAGAGGACACACGTTCTCATCATCTCCTGTTTGGTTTGCTGGTCACAAAGGCCTGAATCCACGTTTCAGGAACTTCTGATGAATGAAAGCAAGGAAGGAGGGAAGGTAGAATGCTCGAGGGACAGTGAAATTCCAACTAGTGAACACCATAATGCCTTGTGCTCTTTGCCAGGAACATTTCTGCTCCTTAAAGTCCTTTTACAACTTTGTCCCCATAGAGGCTCCCAGCCTCTGAAGGGTCTTGTTCTGCTCCTCAGGTGCTCGAGGGAGACATCAGGTACATGAGGCCATTTCCTTGCAGTGTTCAATGGGATGAGATGCAGCCCCAAACCTTTGGGAGAATCCAGAGCTTCACTTGTGCCGGGCACTTCCCTGGTAATTTGCACAAATCCAGCTTCCCTGCTCTGCAAAGGACAAGGAGGAGGCTTCAAGATAAGGATAAAGTGACTCGTGGGCTCTCTGGGTCATGTCCTTGCACCTGCCTGCAGCTCCTCCTCCCAGCAGAGACGTGGAGGGCACCGGGAATTGGGACCAGCCGGAGCAGGTGGATTTGAGCCGGGCAGACTTCAGCTGAGATCTTCCTGGGTGTTGCAAAACTGAGGCCGAGGTTTCCAAGAGCTATTTGCCACTGCAGCTGCCTGGGAAAACACCCCCCAACAGCCGTGGCACGGTGCTTTATGGCTGGTTCCAAACCCATCGCTTCCGCAAAACTGGATTTCCCGAGCGCGGAGATGTGTCACAAACGGCAATTTTTCGTGCTTCAGCAGAGATCAAGGTTCTTGCTCCCGTTTTCCAAGGCTTAACACGGCTAAATCAATGTGGCTGAACGAGCAGTATAGATCTTTTATAATGTCAAATTGGTTTTTAATAACAGCAGCTGATAACCCTGTTGTAAAGCTTCCAGCGATGGGCTCGTGGACGGCCAGAGGGCAACTTACTCAGGGTTTTAACGAGCCCATAACGTGTCCTACTCACCTATTAACCCTTCAGTAATTATTTATAAACAGAATCTGAATAAAAGAGGGCAGAGGAGATGGGAGGACGTTCCAGCAGCCCCATCCATCACCTCCTGGCTCTACATGATTTCTTCCTCACGTCTCCCGGGCCGTGTTGCACCAAGCCTGGCTCCCAGCCAGCGCTCCTTGTCCACCCTGGAGAGCAGGGACTCCTTTCATTTATATTGTTCCCTTGAAGGTATTTATGGATTGCAAACATGCCTCCCAGGGTCTTTTCCAGGCTATATAAATTTACCTCCTTTACTCTCTCCCCGTATCACTTGGCTGCAAAGTGACCTGTCCCTGTTTGCTGCTGGTTTTTTTCCTGAGCCAGACCCTCCCTGCAGGGACAGGTCTGGGCAGGGTGGGCTCCTCCTGCCCCAGGAGAGGGGTGAGGGTGTGTCTGTGGGGATCCTGCCCACAGGACCTGTTCCTGTCACTCCCTGGGCAACCTGTGCCAGGGCCTCACCACCCTCACAGCCAAGAATTCCTTCCCAATATCCCACCTAATCCTGCCCTTTGGCAGTGGGAAGCCATTCCCTGTGTCCTGTCCTTCCAGGACTTTGTCCAAAGGCTCTCCAGCTCTCTTGGAGCCCCTTTAGGCACTGGAAGGGGTTCTAAGGTCTCTCTGGAGCCTTCCCTTTTTAGGCTGAACCCCCCCAGCACTCCCAGCCTGTCCCCATAACAGAGATGTGCACATTTTCCCCTCTTCCTTTCTCTTCACCAAGCACCATCTCAGCCTGTTTTCCCAGATGGGCATTTCTTCCCCTCTTGGCTGAGTTTCATTTTGTTATTTCCTTTCCCCTCTTTCTAACGTGCCTTTGTTTTCCTCTGGCCTCTCTGAGGGAGTACCTGGTGCCTCCCAATTCAGTATCTTCTGCAAATTGAACCTGCTCGGGTGATGGAGGAAAACAAATTTCAACCGGGAAAGAGATATTTTGATCCAAGTTTCAAAGGGGTTATTACAGACAGCACTGAAAAGCTGGTGATTAAAGAATGAACAAAAAATAGAATACCTACTCTGAAGAGGAAGGGAGGGACTTTTCTAAGGAGACATTCTTCAGGGAAATAGCATTTTTCTGACTCCATCGATCGCTTCCCAGCTAAGAGTACATTCAAGCAAACAAGGATGGACAGTTTGGGATTTGTCAGCTCCCAAGCAACGCCTGGGTTTTGTTTTGGTTTTCATTTGTCAATGTTTCTTCCTCTTCTGCTCTGGTTTCCAAAGGAAACCTGCCAAAACCCGGGATGATGCGCCCGTGCTGCCTCCCAGGCTCTCAGTGGGCTGGTCTGCCAGGTCTCCTTCTGCACAAGGGGTTTTACCCAGCAGCTCCATCCCTTTTTTTCCCCAGAACCCTGTTTCTGGCTGGGCTTCCAGGCTGGTGGAGCCCACGAAGAGCTCACCACAGTCAGAACAAGAGCACAACAAGCCCTACAGAGCGTGGGTCCCTGGAGGAGCGTCACCAACGTGCATCATCCTCCTGAGCACTGCCCCAGCTCAGCCTGGCAAATACATCCCTCTGGCTCTGCCACACAGGCTTGGAATTCTTCAACACACAGCCAGCCTGAACAAGGTACTGACTTCCCAGCCCTGGGAAGGCTGTAGAGCTGAACAAAGTCTTCTTTAGAAAGGTCTTCATCGGGCCATGGCTCCTCCCAGAAGCAGCACAGGAACTACTGGAGGGCAACACGGGGTTGCTGGGGCTCTCTGGACTCTGCACAAATCCATCCTACAGACCCACAAGGAGGATTTTGGGAGCTGCCAGCAGGGGGTTTACTCCTTGAACCAGCACTCCGGTGGTGTTTTAAGCCGGGGAAGTGGAGTGTGTCGTCGTTTTTAATTAACAATTCAAAATAAAGTGGTCGCTTGCCATATAAATTGTGTTTACTAGGAATTACTTAAAATGGATAAATATTTTCTTGGACGCATTTTAATTGCTTAATAAAAGTACCAAGAACACCCACAAATACCTTAAATAAATGCATGGCTCGGGGAATGAATTAATTAACATTTCATTCCTGGGAACGGCCATTAATTGCCAGCAATTGCTCGGAGAATGGGTTTTTTTGCTTTACTGCCACAGCAGTACCTTCAGTTCCCAGTGTGTGATGTGACAGTCCCCTCCCATCCCCACGTGTGCCAGCTGCCAGTGGGGTGCTGTGGGCACCACCCCGCTTTCCCCCTGGCATCC